AATAATGCTAGACTTATATATCAGAAAAATTCTATATAATTTGTATAGTTTCAAGAATCCTAATAAAGTACTAGCATACTGCTAAAGTTAAAAAAAAAAAAAAATATGATCTTTATAATATTATCTGTAAAAATCTTAATTTAAAAAAAATCTCAAAACAAATAATTTGTATATTTTGATAAAAAAAATTATTAACCTAACTGATTGTTTAAGCATAAAATTATATTATATAGAACTAACTGAATTGATAATATAAGAAGATTTGAAAAATGTATAAAATATCAATAAGATTGTAAAAAAAAATATTAGAATTGTATAAACTTTATAAAGATATAATAATTTAATAGTTAATCTTGATTGCAAATGTTAAACTCAACTATAATGAAATACTATATTAGCTGAAAATTGAAATAATAAAAAGCTCTAATAGATTTAGTATAAAATTAAAAATTCTTTACATGAGTAAACTGCTTTAAAAACTTAGTAACCATGACATATTTGCACTAGTAAAAACTGAAACAATTGATCAAATAAGTAAATAGATGAATATGAGAATTAGAACATTTAAATAGAAGACTCACAGACAAGTTCTAAGTATAACAACTAATATAAAACCTTTGGATGAAATATTTAAATTAAACAATATCTAAAATTGTATAAGTAAAAAAATTGTATACTCTTCTTATAATTATCTCCTATAACTGTTGTAATATAATTACAAAGTTGAAACATACTATTAATAAAATCCTGGGTTGCAAGTACACATCTTAACATTAAAAAAAAAAGGAATATCATATTAATATACTGTTAGTTATACAAAAAAAGTAATAAAGTAACTAATTGATAAGAAACCAAATAAATAACTTTTTGTTAGCACACTTGAAAATGACATCAAGACATATTAAATATGAAAGATTAAAATAAAATGAGTGATAATGTTAAATAGACAAGCTACCGAAAAATACAAATTTTTGAGATGCATTTTTTTAGCATTTTTTTTAGAGTTAGGATTAGTGTTTAGGGGTAAAATTTATAATAAACATGTAAAAGTGGGTTTTAGGAGGTCAAATAGAAATCCCTCGTTTCATTTTAATCCGACTTCATTATGATCCACGAAAATAATTAGATAAAATATTAATTATAAACTTTTTTAACTTATTATATTAATATATAATGTATCAAAAGTGATGAAATTACCTATACCTAACAACTATTCTAATAAAAAACCTTTTCACTTTTAATAGTTTTACAGTTGTTATACATAGTGAAAGTAATTTCATGCACTATAAAACTACAAAATTGCAATAATACAACTAACCTTCAGTTGAAAATTAGCGCATTATGCACCTTTAATATTTATGGAACACTCCACCATTGTAATTCTTTACCAATCGAAATCCAAATACCTTCGCCTTTATTATAGTGTTCTAAATTATCCCCATCCGGAATAAATTCATAATTTTGTTGTTCATCACGTTCACAAAATCGAACTGTTGACACTGTATCCTCGAATGGACCAATTGGCAAACGTACAACATCTCCGGTATTGATAGAAAAAAATCGTACAAAATTATCTTGACCAGCTATGATTAATTCAGTTAACAAGATAAATAAATAAATGATAATTTTTAAATTAAGATACGCAGATACGAATAAACTACTACCAATAGCAACAACTGAGTTATTCGAATTCACGGCAAATCCGGTCCGGCGATTAGTACTATTAACATGTCCAAAATATTTAAATACAGGAGAAGTAGATTCTCCTATGCTTTGACTCCTTCGCTGATTCCGAATGTCCCATAAAGAAAGCTAAATCAAATCTTTAAATTTAGAAATGCATCAACCTTCAAATTATAATTATTAATAATTTGTCCTTTTTTTATACATACCGAACCATCCATTCCATCACTTAGAACATACCAACTGCTCACTTGTTTAAGATTACATATTGGAGATGACTGTTTTATCATTGGACCATCACCATTCGGTGAAGATTTTTTTGGATTACAACGGACATCAAAAAGGAGTAGTCGACCATCTCGACATCCCGCAAAAATAGCTGAAGGCTATATAATTAAATAATTTAATTATGAACCAATTATTTATTTGGAATTAATTGTCACGGTTGATGCTGAAATCGGCTGATGCAGAAATTTGGGTCACGATTTGAAAACATAAGCCCTGATAAATTCACATATACTCTTTAATTATCAATTCTAACCCTAAACTCTAACCCAACCCTGAAAAAAAAGCGGACAAAAACACCCATAAAATTTTAAAAATTCATATCAAAATAAGTCTAAATTCAGCATCACCTATTTCAGCATCAGCTGCGACATTAATTAATACCTGATACTGGTCGTTATCCAAAGCAAAAACATCACTATTTGTTTTAATGTTTGTGAATCGAGCACCAGGAACAGAATAATTCGATAAAACTGAAATGTAGTTTGTTGCACCTATATAACATACAATGATGCCAGAAATTTCATTACCGAAAGTTTATTAAAATGAAGAATTTATACACATTAAAAATACCAAGCGCTATCCATTCATCAATTTGTGAAGAAGTTGATGTCCAAACAGTTGATCTAGTTTGATAGTTATATGCATTCGTTTCTAGGTATCAATAAAGGGTTGTCAGTTCTAGCTAGCATTTAGAGCAACTTCAAGAAACTTAACAAGCATTGTTAAATCTTACCGTGAACCATATCAAAATCGGTTACTTCTGGTAAATGCTCAATACATAATATGCCAGAACAAAGATGATTACCAAGTGAAGTGTAACTAAATTATAAAAGCAAACAATAAACTTTAAGAAAAATTCTAAACATTCAATTGTTTACAAAGGTTTAAATTTACAATTTACATGATTAAACTTTCACCGATTATTCTTATTGACGTTATCTATGAATTAAGTATGAATTCACCATTAGCCTTTTAAGAATGCAGATATAAAAGAAAAAAAAAATTTTGTTAAAAAACCTCCGAGTTACAATAAGCAAATGGCTTGCTAAAAATTTCAGAACAAGTTTTTGATGAAGCCTGGAACTTTAACAAGCTAAGAATATGTTAGTAAACTGGTATATTTTAAAAGCACATTAATCTTCCATGTATTTACTTTGCTTACCCGACCATTCCATCAGTATTTCCATAATATAATTCATTGCTTGTTGGGTGTATCTAGATAAAAATGATTATTTGAATGCCATAAGATCTTAGAATGCAGTGCGATTTAATGTAAAAGAAGTCAAACCTGGAAGTCTGTAATACGATGTGATAAAGAAAAAGGAATCGTTTGCTGAATTGTACCGACATAGCATAAAGATTTTACAAAAATCTCTTTCCATTCTCTAGTGGAAAATCAAAAAACTATGTTATATATAGTAAAGAATTATATAACTAGATCTTATAACTACCTTTGAAGTCGATGAATTGTTTTTGACAGATTAAACTCGCAAGCGTTGAGAAGAGAATTACATGTAGAAATCCTTGGTTTAGTCAACAGGTTTACATTCCCTTCAGCTTTTCTCTTAGTCATTATGCCACTCGCGTTAGTGCTATGCCCAAAAGTGTGTCCTGGCATTATCTTAAAATATCTGCCGCGCTCACGATCATAATAAAATCCTGGTATTTCCATCGGATCGTCCGTTGAATCATGCGATTGTTTTTTAAATTTTGTTCGCCGGATTGTTCTCTTTTGTATTTTATCTGAAGGTTTGTGGTTTCGTTGAGGCATTCTAAGGATCAGCTATCCAGAGAATGGTTTCTTAGGTATATAAAGGTATACAAGGTGTGCGATTAGGCTTTCTGGCAAAACCCGGACAAATCCCAAACCCAAAAAAATATAATTGCTCTTTGTAAAAAATAAAATGGCAAAAAAATAATGCAAATATATTACATATAGCTATAAGAACATATCATCTTTAAGAAGGTTATAATGGTTATAATTCAAATTTTGTATTAATTCATTGATTATCTATTGAATTCCTATTTCGTGTTACATATACATCAATATAACATGATATTCTGATCGCGTCATGACATTTATGGCTGTTGTTTTTATAATGATTCATTTGGGGAAAATCGGGTAATTAAAGTTTAAAAATGTATAAATATGGTTTATGTTTCATCAAGTTTCAAAATTTCACCGCCGAGAATTTTCACACATTTACATCTTTAATAATACAGGATGGTAAAGAATCAGACCATTGTTACCATTATTGAAAAAAATAAAAAAGATTAGTATTTAACTTTACGAACTTTAGGATGATGATATGTTTTGGGTAATGCTATCAGACTACCCGGATAGTAACGATGATATCGTCGAACCACCTGGTTGTCAGATTAATAAATTTTCAGAAGCCGAATTCTACCGAGAACGTGCGAGAAGAACCGAGCAGCTTCATCGAGATCAACGAGAAAAACTTTTGAATAGCTTTGCAGAAGAACGACGATCACATCGATTAGAGTTCTTTCGGATGATTGATCATGATTATTTGGCGGATGTAAGAGAGGGAATTAATCCACTTCGCACGATGGATTTATGTCCATCAGTATCAATGATCCTTTATGGTAGCAATAAATCAGATAATGGATCAATGGAAAACGTTCAAGAAGTTGAGGACGGTTTGAATAATGCAATCGCAAGATTATTGATATCTGGTGAAGATCGAGCACGTTTAACTATTCAAGATATATTGGTATGTTGAAAGTAAATTTAATAAATTGAATTTATATGATCCATGCAAAGTTTTGTTTTTTAATTCACGTTTAAAAGGTTCAATACAGAGCAGAACAGGAATTCATCAGAGAGCGACAACTCGCCAAACTAAAAGATTTGAGAAAATATCAAATTCAAGTCATGAATAATTTGCGTAGTCATATTAAAGACGATATTACGGTCTCCAAACAAGCACAGCATTCAACACCTATTACTGAATCAGCAAATAATACACGAAATATGCAATCAGCGCAAACACCTAGTGTCAACGTGCCTACCACAAATGTGGTAGGAAATAATGAATATTCTTCTTCAAGGCAGACAACATCCGCCGTTCCTCCTAGTGTAAACGTAGGAAACAATAATTTCTCACCTACCGTACCGTCTAGTACTGCAACTCCCAATACATCTAATCCACCTATTGCATGTCCAATGAGTCATCCACCACCTGAAATTGCTGAATTTTGGAATGCGTTTGTGAGTCATCTTCAACCTGGTACCAGCCAACAACAAGCTGCTGCTTTATTAAGCATAATTGCAACTATGGCAAATAATCAACAACCTTTAAATGGTTCCAATAATCAACCACCTTCTAAGGGTGCCAATAATCAGCCACCTTTTAGTAGTGCCAATAATCAACAAGCTTTTAGTAGTGCTAATAATCAACAGCCTTTTAATGGTGTCAATAATCAACAAGCTTTTAGTGGTGCCAATAATCAGCAAGCTTTTAGTGGCACCAGTAATCTACAGCCTTTCAGTGGTGCCAATCATAAATAACATTTAATGCTTTTAATGATGAAGCTGGCTCTTCTGAAAGAAAATAGATTTTTTTTGGGGGGTTTTTTTTGAGATCGACAATGTATATATTTCATCATGTTTTACAATGTTCATAATTTGCAAATAATATTTGCTTAATACTGCTGTTAAAAAAAAATTGATGTATTAAATTTTTTATGCTATGAAGTATACAAATTTGGTTCTCTTTCTTATCTCTTATAATGTTATGTTATCTGCAAGTTTAAAATTCTATTCAGCTATAATAAAAAAACCCGTATATAATATAATCAGTGTTGGCAGCAATAGATGAATAGTACAATAGAATAAAGCAATAGAATTTATAATAGAATAAAATTTTTGTCAATAGAACAAAAAATTGCCAACAAGGACTTGGGTTAATGTTTGTTCTTATAATTTGTTTGAGTTTGTCAATTGTAAATTAAAGTTTTGTGACTATCTATTCTCTAGATATATGCGATAAATTCTTTAGCGCATACAGTATTTATCAGTTTATAAGCTTTTTTATATCTGATATGGTGTTCTTCTCGTATTCTACTATATATATATATATAGTAAGATACGATAAATTATTTTAAAAATTATGTATTTTGATTGGTTAAAATTAACGTTAATTATTCACGGGATTTCAAAAAATGTGAAAACCTGGAAACCGATCATAGTAAATCATTAAATCGATTTCCACTCTCACATTCATTTTTATATTTTCGACATACAGAAATATCTTCACCCCATGTATAATAACAACCAAAGGCCGAGAGAAAATACCTTTAAAGAAATTAAAGGATATGTTTCTAAACGAGCAAGATTACAATTAGATAATAACAATTTAGAAAAAATACAAACCGAAAATGGAAACACGACCTCAGAAAGTACGATGCATTTTACCTAGTAATAATTTTACGTGTGATAAAGCTTTTCAATAACTATATCAAATGATTTTAAAGCATCCCATGAATCACAACTATCTATTACTAAATTACTTAGTCTTCCAAACCGAATTCGTTCCGCATTGGAGAATGACCACGCACATATCAATGTAGAAAGATCTAGCACCATTCCGAGACGGAAAATAATATCTTTTCCAAAAGAGCACACTAAAGGTGTGAATTCTTTATCATGGTGTGGATCTTTTGGTAAGTAATTTGTTTAAACGTGTTAATTACGTTGAAAGTATGTTTTATGATAATAAATTTTAATAATCAAGGACAGGTATTGGCATCCGCATCTATGGATTGCACGGTCAGAATTTGGGACGTTTTTAGAACAAAGAAATGCGTTCGAATTATAAAACATGATGGTAATAAATAGTAATATTCAGAGATTTAATATTTTAATGGCAAACATATAATATAATTTTATTAATAATAGGAGCCGTGAAGGACATCCGATGGAATATTAACTTTAACAATATACTTTCTGGCGGATATGATAAAACTGCAAAGATATCTGATATTGAAACTGGAATTACTATACAAGTGAGATAATTCATTCCATTTTTTATGTATTGATTTATAATTATATTATAATAATCAAGAATTAAATAATTAGACATTTCCTCATCCACAAGTTGTTACTGCCCTTCGTTATCATCCTACACAACCAAATATTTTCGTATCAGGAATGATACAAGACGGAATACGATCATGGGATTTGCGTGCAAATAAAGTCATAAAGGAATCTAGAAAATTTTTTGGTAGTGTTAATGACATTGAATTTTTCCCTAGCGGGGATAACGTTCTTACTTGTTCCGACTACGTAGTCAGAAACGCGTCTGATAAAAATATTATGGTTTGGGAAATTGATTCTGTAATTATCATATATACATTATCTCTTGAAATTTGTGAATATTAGTATTTCAAAACTTATACCTTTTAAACAGATGACGGCAATATCTAATCAAATTTATCAAGAAGCATTTTCTTGTACTGCACTTCGATTCCATCCATTTCGTAAACACTTTGTTGCACAATCAAATGGAAATTATGTCGCCATTTTTGGTGGTGAAAAGCCATGGAAATTAGATAAGAGGAAGGTTATTATGACTTTCAAACTTTATATAAATTAATTTGGAAGCATGACCGAAATTTAAATCTAAACAAACATTTTTTCATCGATTACAGCGCTTTGAAGGCCATCTTGTGAACGGTCATCCTATCCGTTGTAACTTTTCAGCAGAACCTGAACAAGGTAGATTTTTAGCATCAGGAGATGCAAATGGTGGTATATTCTTTTATGAGTGGTCGTCGTCAAAAGTTGTAAAGGTAATAGAAGGCGCGCATCAGGGAGCTTGTATTGATGTATGCTGGCATCCTTTGTTGAATGGAATTATTGCTAGTTGCGGCTGGGATGGGAAAGTAGCATTATGGGGTACTAATACATTCACATTATAATTATATCAGTTATATGTTAGTTATGTACTAGATTCGGTTATATATATTATACTATTATTTTTAATCGTATAGCGCATACAACTTAGTTGCGACCAGTGTCTGAAATGCAATTTTTAATTTAGTTGCGGGCCCGCAACTAAATAAAAAACTTGCGGATTATATAGATTTAGTTGCGCATATGAATGCAATTTCGAACATATCTATATGCCAATTTACAAAATTTATTTGCGAAACCGTATATATATTTCAGATTTTAGATGCGGGAACTTATAAATAAATTGGCGTCCGTAAGCTCCGCAACCCAATTTCAGACACTGATTACGACAACTAAACTAATTATAAATTAATATAGTCTAATAAAAATCGTAATAAAGAATTTTATTTTGATCTGTACAACATTAGCGGCAATGGTTCGGTTATGCGAAACTTGGAAATTCAGTTGATAGTATTATAATATTGCATTTTTCAAACTGATAACGATATTAAAAAAATATATTTATTATTTATAATATTTATTATATTAATTTTTGCACATTTATTCTTTATTGTTAATTACAATATTGCATTTTTCAAACTGATAACGATATTAACAAATATATATATATTTATCACTTATAATATTTGTTATATTGATTTTTGCACATTTATTCTTTATTATATAATATTGTAGTAAAAAAAAAAAAAAAAAAAAAAAAAAAAACAGGATACTTAGTTTCAGCTAACAAATAACAAAATTAGCATACTCATCCTAGCCACCACGTAGAGGTGTATCCTCTGACTAGGTTTATAACAGTCTAAAACTGTATCCTATAAAGGACGTAACATCGAGTTACTGTTTTTAGAAAAACAGTATGGCCGTTATGACCACCCCACGAACGGTTCACTCTAAACATACAAGTGCCTGTTAGAAAGGCAAATGTACGGACCACTCTGCGGCCCACCGAAGGCCAGGAGAATCCCTCCTCGAATGAACGGTTTGGGAACAGCGACGAAAAACTCGTTTAGTGTCCTGAGCTTGACATAAAAAATAAAGCTAAAAATTTAAAAAAAAAAAAAAATACAGTTAATAACGATTAGTATCAACGCAAACAAAAAATAGAGATAAGTAAAAAGTTTGGGAAAAAACGATCTTAAATAAGTAATAAAGCAGATCCAGTAGCCAATAGCAAAATAGGGGTATAGATCATCAAAACAATCACGTTAATAAACCAATCAGATCGTGAATTTTTGATCGAAAACGGAACACGTAATTTTTAGTTGTTAGGTTCGTTGTCAAGATTAAAGCTTCCAATATTCTTTATATTCATTATCAATTCATTAAAGTACATTTAAACATTATTGTTGCGTTTTACTCATCTTTTTTTTCGGGTTGATCAAAGTTGAAATTTTATTGGTCTATTACGCGTCACAGCTGACGGTGAATCATTTTGTATTGTTAACTAATAACAATACCAAATACTTACATACAAAATTACTATACACGACTTAAATTGACATATATAACTTGTAAATTAATACAGTATTATTTATTTTACAATTAGTAATTTATAAACCTCTTTTTTAATGAGACATTATTGCCCAAAACTAGGAATAGAAATAATTTGTGTCCCTTAGAGTTCTAATTCTCAGGTCCAAATAAACTTTTAAATAAATAAAATTATTTATACAATAATTTAAAAAAGCAAATCGAAATCTTTAAGTGTGAATCTTAGTCAACCTTTATAACTTAATACGAATAAATTGCCTGTGAAGTAGAAAGTTAAAAATCTTGACTTGAATTTATGAATTTAAGTGGGCTTATATAAGAGGTCTACAAGATTACTACGAATGGAACAATTAAAAGTGTATTTGAAAGATACACTTGACTTTTAGTCCATATGCTTGATGTAAATAAGACCTATGCAAACCGAATGATTTGAATTTCTTATAGGTTAAAAAACGTACAGATATATGCAGTTATTATACTCCATTATAGTGTATGAATTTTCTCTTTTTAATAAGATAATAATTATTTAATGAAGGAGCCATTTAATGAACTTGTTCTTTTTAATGAATATAAGTGATGTTAAGGATTAATTACAGTAAGAAGATGTTAAGAATTAATTACAGTAAGAGCTTGAATATTTTGCATATTTATTACGCGATTATCTCTTCGACTGAAATAATTTTGGGTTCATAAATCCGATAATTATTGCATATGCATAGTATGCTGCATATTTGCATATTAAATTTATTTAGTATAATTATTGGACCCTAAAATTCATCAATCCAATTATTAAAACAATTATAGTAAATTTAAATGTCAATTGATGAGATTTAAAAAAAGAAAAATTAACATGTCAATTTATAACTAACAAATTCTCTAAATGTTCGGTTTAGGTATTCAAAAATTTTCATATAATATCTTTTAACATTTCTTGGGTAATAATGTACGATTTAAACTTAGCTATTCAAAGAATTACTACTTATAGCAAACTGGGAAGTATATATAATTATACATTTTTTATTTTTCTAAAGTTTGTTATTATCTGTCTATATAAGAACAAATTATATACTATAATTTTATTTACATCTTCTATAACTAAACTTTTTGTAGGGTGTGGCGACCTAGTGAAGTAGATAGGTTGTTAACCCCCAAGTGGCAGGTCTAGAGTTCAAATCCCAGTGATAGCGAAAATTTGCAATTCTTTCTGTATTATGGCTAACTGTCTTTCATGATTGGTTGGAATAAGATACCTGTAACCCGTGTCATACCAGCATGACTAGAAGGTCTAGGCACTTGTACAACATTGTACGAGAGAACACAAACTGGTACTGGGTGGTGTGAACCCAAGATAAGTTCTTAGGTCATGTAAATCAAGGGAACTAGGTAGGAAGATGGAAGTTCACTTGGAAGACCTGAATAGAAAGATAACCTAAACTTTCGACAGTGTTACTGTAAAGACTAGACTTATGAAATGGAGTTAGAACTTGTGAAACCAGACAAATGTGCTGGTCTTTGAGAAAGGATCAGATGAACCAACCAGGTTGTCAGAATTTCCAAGTTCTGGAGGAAAAAGGCACATGCTGGCAAACAAGTAAACCAGAGGTGTATGGTTTTGACCTATCTTTTTAGGCTATCTGGAATGGCAGCTTGGTGGAACTTGAATTGAATACCAAAGTAGTAAGGATATGTTGTGAAGTTAGTATCAAGGTTGAAGTAAACTCTATAAAAGCATAGTAGTTTAATGGTATGACCTAACTGCAAATGTTGGTCTCAACCATAGTGATATCAGGTCAGCTGTAAGAATGAGATACAAAAGATTCTGAAAGGTTTAGTACAAGGTCAAAGGTTCCTCATATGAGTAAACTGCTTTAAAGACTTAGTGACCATGACATATTTGAACTGATATCAACTGGGGCATTTTGGTAGATGTAGGTAGATAAGTGAATACAAGAACAGAGTGGTTAAATAAGGAACCTACAAGCAGGTTCCAGATATGGCAGCTAGTATAAAACCTTTAGGCAGACTACTTAAATTAGACAATGACTAAAGTTGTACAAGTAGTTAGTTGTACACTCTTTTCATAATTAACTCCTGTGGTTATAAAGCAACTATTAGCTAAATGTACTATCAATAAAATCCTGGGTCGCAAGTACTCACCTTAATATTTTAAAAAAAAAAAACTAAACTTTTTGTTATTAACTTTATATTGTTTAGGCTTGAAGATTTTGCTACATCTAAGATCTTTACTAAATTTTTATCATTTATATATTTAACTATTTTTGTATAATTTCTACATGTCTTGGATTTTTTTTAGACTTTTTTATATATGTTGTACTTGTTTTTGGTTACATTTTATTTATTGTTATGTACTTTATTTATTATCAAAATTGACATGTTATATTTATTTATTTCTATTTATCAATTATATATTACTATCTGTTGTTTTCAGAATTAATAACAATCTTCAAAAATTCTAAATATTTTTAAAAAAATTTCTTATTTTTGTAAAAATTTGCTGGTATAATGCTTTTTAATTTTTTTTAACTATTGTACTTCTATACTATCTTTATGTATTTTGTCTTTTTTTTTATAGTGTTTTTGTGTGTTTTTGTATGTTTCCTTTACTGTTTCTTGAGTTATTACTAATTGTGTTTTTTCTAAATTTGTAAAAAAGGATCAATGAAAAGAATTAACTGTTGTTGGTTGCTTTCTTTTTGCAATTTGTACTAATATGATTTTTTTTAAAACTTTTACTATTATATATGTTCTCTAAGCATTTGTTATAAATTTTTTATAGTTTGTAAGCTTATTATGATTTTTTTTTTATTTTCTGAATTGATAAATTTTTTAAAAACTTATATAATTTATTGGTTAATTATCACGGGTATTCACAGGTAGATCACATGCTGATAAGCAATTTAATTAGATCCTTTTTTCATATAGAATTTAAGTCTTGCAAACATTCTCTCTTTTTTTATCGTGAAGATGTCTAATATTCATGATAGTGTACCATATAACCACAACATTGATGGCTTTAAGAAATGCGTCTATTGTGGAGAGTCACCCCAAAAATTTCCAAACGAGCTTAGCCGACACGAATATCAAGAAATAAGTGGAATTTGTGCATGTTGCTGGGAAATAACAACACTTGACCCTGACGAAGGATCCCAACATGCAAAGGAAGTTCTACGTTTCTACGATCGTGAATTCCTTTTACAGAATGAACCACCGCATGCATGGAAATGTCTTAAATGTGGTGAATACGTTCAGGGAAAACAGCTCAGAAAACCGCACATATGTACGACTGAAGGAGTATGTAAAACATGTATGAAAAGTTGCAGCATGAGATGTAAGAAATGTAAATCAGTGTATTACTGTAACGAGGATTGTCAAAAGAAGGATTGGAGAAGACATAAAAAAGAATGTGCTTCATACTAAACAATGAAAAATAAGGTAATTCTTACTACAACGTTATAATTTTCATTATATATACAGTAGTTTCCTGGTGATATAT